TTGTTTTTACTTCTAGGAAAAATGGTTCATGTCTCTAAGAGTATTTTTTTTAAAGAACTGTATATAAAATAAATTTTGAAGAGACAGTATAGTAGGTTGACTGTTTCTAAAATCTGTTATAAAGTTGACTATTTTATGGCCTTTCCTCAAAAAAACAACCAAGAAACCTAAAATCTTTCCTTGTTATAAATGATAAAAGTTGTTTCACCCATGGGATGAGCACTGTTGCACTGCTGTCCAAGCAGCCTGCTGTGATCATAAATACAGCCCCAGTAAAAAGAGGAAAAGGGAAGGTGGCAGGGAAAAGATAGATAGCTACCCTGGTAAGACAGAATCAGGATAGGGGGCAAAACAAAAGTAAAAAATAATGGCCTGTTATCAGCTACTTTCATAGGGTGTCAAAGACTGTCTTAGTTACTTTTCTTGTTGTTTAGACAAAATACACAAATATACAAAGTTCAATGGGGAAAATCTTACTTGGCTCACAGTTTGCAGAACTTTCAGTCTATAGTTGGCTGGCTCCCAGGCAGGGTGGCATGCCAGAGGGGCATTGCAAAGTAGTAAAGAAGCAAAGCAGCAAGCTACAAGTAACCAACAGCAACCCTCTTTCTGTCCCTTGTGTCTTATCTAGGCTACCCACCTTTAAGCCAGGTGGTGTTCACACCCAGAATGGGGCAGCCTTAACCCTAGCCTCCTACCATGAGTCAGTCCCAGCAGCATATCCTTGATCCCAGCAGCACACACCCTAGATCCAGCCACCTCCGAAAAGCCCCACCTATGACCGCATGAGGCTTTGGGGGAGCATCTAAACACAAGGTATAACATTCCATCCTGGTCCCCGCAAGACTCATGTATGTCCCTTTATACAAAAGGAATTTAGTCCATCTCTTAAGAACTGCCAGAGTTGACAGTTTCAGCACTGCTGAAAAGTCCAAATCCAAAGTTTCCTCTGAGGTTTAAGGCAAACTTTTAGCTATGAGCCCCTGTACAAATGAAAAGAAAGCTAAACGCTTCCAATATTCAATGGCACCAGGTAGACATTTCCATTCCAAAATGTACAAAGAGAGGGAAAGGAAGGAATGGGACCAAAGAAAGTCCAAAATCCAGCAGGGCAAACATTACATCCCGTAGTTCCATGTCCAACATCCTTGGCGATCTGTGGTAAGTTGTGAACTCTGAAGGGTTTGCTTGGCTCAGTCCTCCAGCACTTTTAGTGGTTGTAGTGCCCATCGCTTCTCTCTTAGGCCAGTTCTGCTCCCCTCTTGCAGCTTTCCTCAGATGATCCATGTTTTTGCTTCTCCAAACTTTTGGGGTCTCCACTGTACCTTTGGCTTCACACTCACAGCTTCACACACTGCTTTATCAGGGGCATACTGCCTGGCCTCTGAAGCCTTCTTCTGAAGTCTGGGTAGAAACCTTCCTGACCCCACAGCTCTTGCATTCTGCTTGCCCGTAAAACTAGTGCCATGTGCATGATGCCAAGGTCTGCTGCCAGCTGGATTAGTAGCCAAGTGTCCTTCTGGCTGTAGGAGTTGGGTGCCTGTGAACCAAATCCAGAGGAACAACTTCCCAAAGCTTCTGCCATCCTGGAACATGGTGCTCTGGGGCTCACTTCTCAAAGCAGTCTTTTACTTTTGCAATTTTGAGGCTGCAAAGGATAGAGTCCTGCTCATTCATGTGATTTTCTCAGGCCCTATTTTTTTATTGTCCTTTTCTGAAATATTTGGCTTTTTCTTGCTAGTTTTCTCCTCTGTTCCATCTTTGCAGGGTGCAACTTAACTGGAACTCTTACTGATAAAACTCACATTTTAAATCATTCTGCTGGACTCTTTGCTTTTGACTCTCAACATAGATGTGGCTAAAAACTCCCAACAGTAGCCATGCCACCACCTCAACATTAGATTGTCTTGAAATCTCTTCTGCAAGATTAATCAGTCTACAACCCTTAATCTCAGTCTCAGGCAGTGTCTGGACATGAGCAAAATGCAGGCATACTTTCTGCCAAGGCAGATAACACGTGTCACCTGGAGTCTAACATGCCATATTTCTGTCAGCTGTTTGGTCTTCTAGACTCTGACCAGAATCTCCAATTAAGAACAGTTTAAAGTATTCCAGGGCTGCTTCTTCAGCATACATTTCTGAAACTTTCCAGACTTCCCACCAACCAGTTCCAAAGGCTCTTGAACCAACCACATGGTCAGGTGGTCACAGCAATGATTGCACTTTTCTGGTACCAAATTCTGTCTTAGTTACTTATGTCATTGCTGAGACAAAATATCTTTGTGGCCAGGCCTCTTGCCTTCAGTTCCGATGACAGAGCCAGGCAGGTAGATGAGCGACCGTGAGACTGCCAGAACTTTTAGGCTGCAGAGGCTTTTTGAGGCATCTCAGCATGACCTCTTCTCTGCTGCTGTGACTGGAGAATGAGTTTTATTCTATGCACAGTGATGGTACCAGTTGCTGAAGTGGATCTATACACACAAAACCCAGGTGTAAGAAATTAAAGAACAGCATTCTGGTAATTTCTTTCTTTCTTTTTTTTTTTTTTTTTTTTTTTGTTTTTCTCCGGTACCGGGAACCGAACTCACGACCTTGCGCTTGCCAGGCAGGCGCTTTGCCGCTGAGCTAAATCCCCAGCCCCTATTCTGGTAATTTCCCTCCCTGCTGCCTCCTCACTCTTCGATTGGGAGTTTCTTCATTATACAAAGTGGCACTAAGAGAAACGAGTTCCGCAGTTTCACAGAACCTGCTCTGCAAAGCATCTGCCAAAACCTGGGGTCCTCAGAGAGAAGGAGTGGCCGAGATTCTCAAAGCTTTGGGACTAGGTGAGAATCAGTAAGTCATTAGTTTATTGTGTAGAAATTCTTGCCACTTTATGGCAATTTATGTTTACAGTGATGAGAGGAGTATTCTTGACATAACAGAGTAACTCACTCTGGAGCCTGAAATAAAGCTATGCTCATTTTATAGCCTCATCATTCATCAATAAAAAGTCATTTTGAGGTAAGAAGCCTAGAGAGCGTTTTAAAATCCCTCTTGTCATTAGTAAAAATAGTGTCTGTGTTGTGACATGCTTTCATTTTTTGAAAGGAAGATCTCAGATGAAAGCAGTTTGCTGTGGCCAGGTTGTCCATCCACTGACTGACTTGTGAGTGTTTGTGGTAGATACTCCCACTCGCACGCAATGTTGTAATAGTTTGAAGGTAGCCCCTTACCCAGCACTCACCCAATGGGGATGTGAAAGGTGATGGGACAGTGGTGCTCAAAGAATACACAAGACATGTCAGATTAACCTGTATCCATGGCAGTGCTCCACTTTCTGTCGAGATTTTGCCTGAAAGCCTTCCTTGATAACATCTTCCTTTCCTGAAGGCTAGCAGTCAGGTGGCTTGGCTTTGTGTCTTGTGAATGTCAGTTTCAGTGCTTGCAGAAAACTGGAGTGCATTCTAAACTTGCTGGTATAAGATCCCACACTTACTTAATGTGGACATAAAGTGTCCAGTCTGTAGAATGACCATTACTAACTGGTAATGGAAAGTAAGTGATGTTTCATACGCTACTTGTATGTTCATAGGCTGTGTTTTATATACATTGTAACTAGTAAGTGGGGAAAAACAGTGCTATATATTTACCACTTGTATTAGTCAGCTGTTTTGTTGCTGAGACACACTTCATGACATCCACACTTAAGGAGAGATTTCATTTGGTTTATGGTTTCTCAGATTCAGTCCATGGTTGGTTGGCTCCAAGGCAGAAACAGTGGTGGACAGGTGTGGCCATCACCCACACTTAGAGTTCCCTCCAGTACACACAACATGACTCCCTCTTGCACTGTCTCAAAATCTGCCTTTGTGACCTCTGCTCCTCTCCTTTCTCCCTCGGAGCTCTGGAACTGGCAAGACCTGGCTTCTTTCTGTGTGGGAAGCATCCTTTGCACAGAGCACAGTGTATTCTGTGGTCTAGCCCTCTAGGCATGGGTCATACTGCAGTTAAAAGAGCTAAAGGAGTTTCCATTGTGTCCTGCATAATGTCTCATTTTAACACATTCCTGATGAAGCCATAATTCATATGTCTTGCTGCCTAGCAGCTTGAACCACTGGTGGTATATGCATGACTTCTCCATTGGGTGGCTTTTGTTAATTTTATTAGTAAAAAAGACAAACAAAAGTGATTAGATTCATCTGTATCACTAGTAGTACAAGCTGTCTGATGCCACAGTCATGTATGTACCACCGGTGGTTCAAGCATATAGAAGAAGTTAAACTACTTGAAGTTCTAAGGTTCAAAGCTAGTGGGTGGCCTGTTCACTCTTAGCATTGCTTGTCCTTTGATCTCAGAGCATAGACCCTCATGGGTTATCATAGGAGGTGAAAGGCTCTAAGGAACCATGATTTAAGAGGGAGGTAAAAACATGTCAGTTTAATAATTATAACTTATCCCCATTATTACATAAAGGTTCTTAAGATGCTTCCATAAAAGAACTCCTGTCTCTTTTGGTGCTATAAAATTGAATTCACCAGTATACTTGTAAGACATTAATGTAGAAGTATTGCCCTACACAGGGATTTTAGGTATCACAACGAAATGTCAGCATGGACTCCTAGAGGACAGGTCACTGTCATTCTAATACATGTCACTATCTTGACACAGTACACCAGACTTTTTAAAATGCAAAAGCTGTTACTGAGTTGATGTGGGACACTAATAAAGCCTCAGTATTTTGAGTCAAGGGAGGTTAAAACAGGTGATGTAGTGCATCTGGAAGCGCCAAACTATTAGACAGGCAGCAGACTTCAATTCATCTAGTTCAGAAGTGCTTCTGATTCAGAATTATTTTAATACTGTAGGTGTTTTATAGTTTATTATTTTAAAATGATTATATTTTAGCCATCAGGTTAAAGTGTTAATAATTAAACGATCACATTCCTTTCTTTATTCTTCAGTCATACAACAAAAAGAAGTATAAAATGATTTAACTATTTGACTTTTTGTTGAAACAGATGTTCATTTGGATTTGGAAGAGCGCCTGGCAAAATTTATGAAGACTGAAGAAGCCATTATATATTCATATGGCTTTTCCACCATAGCCAGTGCAATTCCTGCTTACTCTAAAAGAGGGGACATCATATTTGTGTAAGTAACCTTTTTTGCCTGTCTAAGCAGAATTCTTTTGGAAATAATACTGTCTTGGTGAATTTTTTCATGGAAGTTACATGCCTAAAATAATATGAATTCTTCAGTTTATTATTAACAAAATGTTCAGTCATCCCAGTGAAAGTTGAATGTGAGACTTTCATTCAAAGGAAACTTACAAGTTTCTTATCTGGAGTTATGGTTTTATTTATTGATTTCCATATGAAGCCTGCCATCTTCCTGCTCTGTTCAGCTCTGTGGCCATGTGTCCTTACAATTCACCCTGCTTCATAAAGTCTCTCCCTTCTCATAACCCACCTCCCCCAAACTTCAAGTTTCTGCTGTTCTTGCTTCATAGCTTACTAAGGACATAGAAGCTGTGAATTGGGAACATCCTTGACTACAAGCAGGCAGATCTCTAAGCTTGGGTGCACACATTCTGGATGCATGGTACTCTAGCTTTCTGTGAAGGAGTAGGCCAGTGAGGAGTCACACAAGTGTTGGTGTAGTCCAGGCAGTTGGTTATATCAGTCAAAATATCTGCCACTCCAGCCCAAGCCTCTGTCATCTTTTGAGTAAGGTATTAAGTGTGACTTTTAATTCTAGGCCCCAAATTTACTTTTTTTTTCTTTATAGAACCATAGCCAGAGTAATCTTTCTTAAAAACATAAATCTGATTATGTCACACCCCATTTAGTAAATATAGGAGTTTGCATTGCCTGCAGTGAAGACTTAAGTCCTTATTATGAACTTGTAAACTACCTTTTTAGGCTCATTTCGAGCTGTTGTCCCCGACATAGTCAACATGTTACCTTACTATGCTCACTCACTAGCTTTGCACTAGTTTCCTGTCCTCTTAGAGCCTTTGTGCATAGCAGTCCCTTTGCCTAGAACTCTGTTGCTTCTCTCATTTCCTACTTCGTGCTCATCCCACACATATATCACCTGTGCAAGGAAGCTTTCCCCAACCTCAGAGCAGTTCAAGGTCCTTGCTACACATGAAGAAAATCTTACAGCCCAGGAGAATTCAGTATCTTAGCAAATCTTTGCTCACATGAGCACTCAAACTGCCTGTCAAGATCCTCTTGCCTGAGAGGCACACAGGTGTGCATGTGTATGTACACACACATACACGTACATACCCCTCTCAGTTTATTTGCTTCAGATTCACTGTACTTTTTGTTTGTAGCACTTATAACAGTTTATATCTCTGTGCATATGTACTTCTGTTTCCTGCCACAAGTCTATTTGCAGCATTTACCATTTGGTAGTATCTGTTAAATACTAGTTCAGTGAATGAAAGAATGGATGCTGTAGCTCAAAAGGGGGGACCGTGTGATTGAACACTGGAACCTGGCCTATCTGGCCTGGTGTGCCCATAAAAATGAATATTTCCATTAACTTTTTACACATGCAATTAAAAATACAGTTATATGAAAGGCTTGTCACCAATTTGTGAACCATTGATTTAAATAGTATTTCTACATTGTTAGCAAAAGCACAGTTATACAGGTTCAGTGTCATCAGTATGACTTTATGCAAGCATCCCCCTATTATTTCCTTGTAGTTACAAGTGAACTTGTAACTTCCTTTGTCAGATACTATTGTTTTGGTATTGATTGGTAGGAAACTCAAATGAAGTTCGCTTCAGTTTGGTATATTTCAGTTTCCATTGAGTCATTACACACTTACAGTCTTCTACCAATTTTATTTTATTTAAATTTTGTAACTTTTAAAAGCATAAAAACACATGATGATGGAGTAATACAATGTTTTGTTAAATTAATACATTGTATAATGTTTAGATCAGGTTAAGTATATCAAGAATTTATGATTTCTTTATGGTGAAAACTTTTGATATACTTTTCTGTAACTTTTTGAAACATATAAAACAATATTGGGGACTTAAGCCCCAACCTCTGAGTCCCTGTTCTGTGCTTCTAACTGTAACTTAATACCCATTGCTCAACATTACCCCCTTACTTTCTCTGTATTACTGTCCTCAGCGTTTTCTGTCATCCTCCTCAAAGGATCCTCAGCTTAAGTCCCCAGGATCCTCAAAGTTTTCACAACACAATACCAGTCAGTTTTCCTGTCCCTGAGAAACAATTTGTAATATCCACAACTTTAAGAAAGAGAGGTTTAATTTGGCTCACAGTTTCAGAGGATCCAGTCCATGGTCAGCTAGCTTCATGAGCAAAAATGTTTGGCTCATGGCAGCTAGGAAACAGAGTTGAGGAACAACTCTAAAGGGGAAAGGGGAAGAACCAGATGTAATACTCAAGGTCACACTTCTGTAACCCACCCAGACACACCCAGAAGTGTGCTTTGCTAATCCCCTTAGCACTTCCCAAATCCAGTCAAATTGATATAGTTAAGTTTAGCCAACACATTCCACCCAAATTCATCTCCCTCAACTATATAACACAGTAACAATTAGGGTACAACTCGAGACCATACTGATATGTAAAATAAATCAGACCCACATATGTAAACATTGTTTAGTCTCGCTGGTGTGACAAGCTGAACTAGTAAATAGGACCCCAAATGTACAATAGATAATGGTGAATTGGGAAAAAGCTGTTCAAAAGAAAAGAGAAACTGATTGGAGAAAGGAGAAAGGAAGGAAGAGAGAAGGAAAAAAATTATATATGTGATGTCAAAGATAGACACACTGCTAATTTCCCTTAATTCATTGAAAAGAGAAGTTTGTGCAAATATTGTTTGGATAGTATCTCATGCCTGTGTCTTGTACCCTGAGTAATTACTCTTAAGATAACAATATGCAATGTATTAATTACTGTTACTCTCCTATAACCTTGTTTCATTTTTTTTGTTTTGTTTTTGTTTTGTTTTTTCATTTTAAAGAATAAAAGAAGAACAACATAGTAATAAGGGAATTTACCGAATTACAGACAAAGTGGTAGGACATTATCAGTGGTTGTTATTTTACCTATTGGTATCTTAAGATAGTTTCTCAGGAAAACAAATAGACAAATAATAGTGAGTTACAGACAGAAATGACAGGAAATTATCAGTGGTTGTTGTACTATACCCTGGGGTCTCCAAAGTGGTCTCTAGGGAAAACAAATAGAACTATGCATGAGTGATAAATCAGATAATCATTGACTATTCTCAGTGGTTGTTGTTGAAAACACATAGTGACAAACATATGTCCATTTATGAAATAGCATAGGAACAATACAAACATTACAGAGTTATGGACAGATTGGTAGGAAACCATTAATGGCTGCTGCAATACATGTTGGCATCCTCAAAGTGGTTTCTCAGGAAAACAAAGATATGCAAGAAAATCCAACAATAGTTACAGCCCAAGGGTTGCAAAAAATAGCGAGTTACCTCCTCATCAGTGACTCCCCTCACTGAGGTGTGACGGCTGGAAGGAAGGCCAGGACTGAAAAGAAGGACCGAGAGACCAGCACTAGTGTCTAGCAATGGGCTGTCCACTTTTTCCTCTATACTCATGATTTCGTGGAGCTCCTACTTCTCCATGAAGGCAGTTGTACAGAATCTCAATATTGGGCACCCATGTAATCCATGAAGTCTCGGTGCAGACCTCTGCGGAGCAATTACCTTGTTTTGAAATTGTTTTCTTCTTTTTATAGAAAAATAAATATTTTTGAAGAAATTAATGAGAAAGCAACATTTTGCAAATAAAAGTGTTAAAAGGGCAGAGTATGTCAAAGTGATAAAAGGTAGAGCTATAAATTTCTGTTTTAATGAGCTTTTTTTCACAACCCTGGGAAAAAAATAATAATTCCACCTACCATGTTACAGCAATCCTGTGTACAATAGAATATGCAGTAATCCCCTCCCAAAGCCTCAGCTGTTCCTGCATTTTTCACAGGTCACAATCTCTTCAGACTCAAGATACTCTTAACTTTGAACCTCTGTAAAAAATCAAATATAAGTTACATAATCCCAAGGTACAGTGGCACAGGTTAGACCTTCCCCTACCAGAAGGGAAGAATAAGGGGGAAAATGCATCAAAGCAGAACCAAAATGCAGCAGGGCAAACATTAAATCCCATGTTTCATATCTAGCACCAGGGGCACATGGCAGTGACACATGGGTTCCAAAGGGCTTGGTCAGCCCCACAGCCTCCCAAAGGCTCAGCTTATGGTCTAAAGTTTTCCTCAACAGAAATTCCATGTTTCTGGCATCTCTGACTTCCTCTGTCTTCCACTGCATGTTCAACTTTATTTCCATTTGCCTTCCCTTTCAATCCTTCCTTTGAAGTCTGGGTAGAAGCATCCCTGATTTCATAGCTCTTGCATTCTGTATGCTAGTAAAACCAGCATTACAAGGATGACACCAAGGTCTGCTGTCAGTGGAAGCAGTAAGTAGCCAGGTCCCCTTGAGCCTTTGAGTGCCTGAATGGCTCAGCATGTTAAAAAGAATCCTAAGGAACCAATTCCCTAGGAGGCCTTCTTGAGCAGATATCCCAGAGACTCTTCTCAAGTGAAAAGCTGACTCTTTTGCACCCTTGAACCTGTGATAGGTGAGATCTTGCTGATTTCTGAGATTCTCTGAAGGCGTCTTTCTTCTTGTCCCTGTACAAAGTACTTGGTTTATTTTTAATGGTGCTAGTGTCCAGCACCATACCTCCTTTGGTCCCAACTTTACACATACCTGCTTTCTGACCAGAATTTAAACTTTTTTTCTATTCTGCCTTTTGGCCCTAATTCTCAGTATAGATCTGTCTAGCAGCAGCTAGCAGTTCCCATGCTATCACATGAATGTTGGACCGCCTTTAAAGTTCTTCCTCCAGACCAGTTATTCCACTGGCCTTCCTCTCCCTCCTATAATAACTCAGGAAATGGGCAAGATATAGGTTTTTTTGGGGGGAAGCAGGGGTTGTTATTATTTTGGTTTTTTTTTTTTTTGCCAGAGTGTAGTATACATGGCCTCTAGTCCTATTAAGAATGAGGTCCTTGTTCCTGACTGAAACCTCTCAAACCTGGCCTTTGTTGTCCACATTTCTGTCAACATTCTGTCTTCTCTGTGTTAGCCACAAATCACCCATCATGCTCTGCTTATAGCATTATAGTGCTTCTCTAGTTCACATCACTAAGACTTTCTGGATTTTTCCCACAACCCAGTTCTAAAGGCTTCTGAACCACACGGACAGGTATAGTTGCAGCAGTGACCCCATCCTCAGTACCAGTTTTCTGTGTTATCTTTCCTATCCCTGAGACACAGTAACCAACTTAGAAGAGGAGAGCCTTAATTTGGCTAAGAGTTTGAGAGGATTTAATGCATGCTTAGCTGGCTACAAGATAGGAACATCATGGTAGAAGGACATGGTAGAGGAAAGATACTTAGATCATGGAACTGGAAAGCAGAGCAGGGACAACATCAGAGAGGAAGGGAAGAAGGCTTAGATAAAATACCCAGAGTCATACCTCCATGACCCACCCAGACATACCCAAAAGTGCTCTTTACTAAACCCCTTGGCAACTTCCAAGCCAGTCAGCTAGATGCAGTTAAGCATGAACATCATAGACACCAACATTTTTAGATTCCACCTGTGAGGGAGCTCATGCAGTGTTTGTCTTTCTTTGCTGGCTCATTTTACCTAACATAGTGGATTCTTATTTTCTCTTAATTTCTCCAGAATTCTTATTTTCTCTTGCTGTATTGACCTCTTTATCATTATATAATGACCTTTCTTGTCTCCTTTTACCTCCTTTAATTTAAATGAGGTGCTTGCTTTTCACTATGAGTATGGCTGCACCTACTTTCTTTTAGATTACTTTGACATGGAATATCTTATTCCATCCCTTCACTTCTAGTCTACATGTGTCATTAGAGGTGAAGTAAGTTTCTTGTAACATACAGTTGGGTCTTCATTTAATCCATTTCATTCCTGTCTTTTAATTGGAGAGTTTGATCCATGTATATTCATGGTAATCATCAGTAGATGAGGTCTTACTACTGCCATTTTATAATTTATTTTCTAGTTTTTTTGTAGTTCCTTTCCTTTTTCTTACTCTTATATACAGTCTTCCTTTGTGATTAAGTGATTTACTCTACTACTACTGTGTTTTGATTCCTTGTCCATTTTTTAGGGTTTGTCCATTATGGATTTTGTTTTGCAGTTGCCATGCAGCTTGCAAATCATCCTTTGAATATAATAAGCTATTTTTAAATAATAACAACTTAAACATGATTATAAAAATAAGAAAATATACTAATAAGAAAACTACACTTTCATTGTTTCTAACATTTAAAATTTTTGGAAGCCCATCTTTCTTTATTGCCTATCTTTTAATATTTTAATGCAGTCATTATTCTGAATTTTTTATTTTTTAGTCTTCATACTAAAGATATGGTTTATACATGATGTTTACAATACTAGAACATCCTGAAATCGTCTAATTACTTACCAATGAGTTTTATGCCTTCCAAGTTTTCTTCTTACTCATTAATGCGTCTTTCAGTTCAAAGAACTTCCTTTAGCATTTTTCATAATAGTCTGTTGAAGATATATTCTCTCAGTTTTCATTTATCCGGAAATGTCACTTTTATTTCTAAAAAGTAGTTTTGCTGAGAACACTATTCTTGTTTTACAGGTTTTTCCCTTAGTACTGTGAAAATGTCATGCCACTGTCTCCTGGCCTGTAAAGTTTCTGTTTAGAAGTTTGCAGTCAGGCAGGCACACTTTTATGTATTGTTTTTTTCTCTTGCTGCACTGAGAATGTCTTTGTCTTTCACCTCTGAGAACCTGATTATGGTGTCTTGAGGTAGACTTGGTTGCAAAAATCTGATTGGTGACCTGTGTCTTTCCTGTGCCTGAACACTGGTATCCTTCTCAGATTGCAGAGTTTTCTGTTATTCTTTTAATAAGGTTTCTACCCTTCAACATTCTGAAGTCCTTCTCAGACCCAATTAAATCAAATATTTCCACTTTTAATATTGACTCAAATGTCCTATGAATTTTTTCATTCCTCTTCATTCATTTTTTTCTTTGTTCTCCTTCACCTAAATTTTCAAATAGCTTGTCTTGAAGCTTATTCATTCTCTATTTTGTTTGATCTATTTGGTTCTTCATAAAATAAGCCTAATGTCATATTTTCAATTTTACTTAGCATGTCTATCTCTTTGTTACTTTTCTCTGTTTGAATATTGAATAACTACACAATCTGTTTTTCTCAAGCTCATTGAATTTTTCTTAAAACCACTAAAACAATTCTCCATCTGAGAGTTTCTCCATACAGATTTACCTGTCTAGTTTCCAGCACCTTATTTTGACTCTTAGGTGAAGTCGTGGTTCACTGTAAACATTTGATACTTGTTGGTGTGCTATAGTGTCTGTATAGTGAAGGGTCAAGAGTTCATTCCAGTTTTACCAGTCTGGCTTGTGTGTCCCTACCTTTCCAGAAATCCTAACCAGACTGCTTATTTTCTCTGCCCATGGAGTCACTTCCACTATTTTAGCACTGAGTGGCACCCAAGTCCAGGTTTGCCAAGTCTGCTGGTGGTCTGTGTCCCTATTATTCACTAGAGTGCAATCCAAGCCCAAGTTTGTCCCAAATGTATAGTGATTGTGTTGTTCAAAATGAACCTAGGTCCTAGAAAGGGCAGTCCATCTCCACAGGCCGTTGTCTTCAGCCAGACTAGACTCACACACTTTATTCATAGTCATGCCAGGGTTGTCCAGTCTCAGGGCCCTAATCACCTCCACTGACAACTAATGTAGGAAGTTCTTCATTGTTGCTGGGAGATGACAGTCCTGGTTTTCTCCTAGGCCTCCTCTGACACCACCCAACTAAAGATGAGGAAAGCACCCCATTATATCCTGTGGGGAGGCGGAAGTTTGTGGTCCTCCCATGGTGTCCACCAACACCATGGTGCTGAGGCAGTGGGGTGTCCACTTTTTTCCAGCTAGCTTTGTGAAACTCCCAACTCACTGTTTGGCCTTTTCTAACACCTGTCTGGGAGGGCTGCAGGTTGTCTTGTATAGATAGCACTTCGAGGTTTGGAGTCTAGGTTCTGCTCTTTGCCTCTGCTGTTGCAGTAAGTTTGAGACCATGGTGTTTGCAGTGGTGTTTGGCCGTAATTGAGTGGTCGCTTTCTGAAAGCTTTCAGCTGCCTGTCTATCTGGGCTGCCAGTATTGCTTCTCATGGTAAAGTAATGTCAAGGTAATGTGTCAGTCAAAGCAGAGGTGCTACTGATGTGGAGATTCAGCAGTATTTTATGTACTTCTTAGAAAGGGTAAATACATGAGTAAAATGATAGGCCATACATAGAAAGATGCATCCTGATTTCAGAGTGGTTAAAATTTGGCAAAAGCATGCTTTTTGGAAGAGATTAAATATGATCATGTGAAAAGGGCCAGCAAAATGAAGAACAAACAAGATGCATAAATGTTCAAACATGTTTTATTTACTGTGCTCCAGTCAACAATTAGAGATTAGTCAACTTACAAAAGTAACCTTCCTTTTCTGAGAACATTGACAAGACCTTTTAACCTATTTGATGCACCTTTCTTCCTTGCAGAGATAGAGCAGCCTGCTTTGCTATTCAGAAAGGATTACAGGCCTCACGGAGTGACATTAAGTTATTTAATCATAATGATGTGGCTGACCTGGAGCAACTACTAAAGGAACAAGAGATCGAAGATCAAAAGGTATAATTCTTTTGAAGAAAATTATATAGCTCTTTTGTACTTTCTAATCAGCTAAATTATATATGAAATGTTAATTTGTCACTGAGAACTTGCCCACAGATCACATTCAGATATTAAGTAAGGGTGTATTCCTGTTGGAGAGCCAGTTCTGATTGTAATTGCCTTCTTGTTGCTATCATTATATATATGTCAGGTCTCAGGAGAGGTATTCTAGGCAGCATTCTAAACGGGTTGAGAGCAGAGACAAATAGCATACATTTGGCAAGGAGGGAGATATAAGCTCAACTTTGCATAATAGCACCCAAACTGTAATTAGAGTTTTAACAGGCTGTACCTCGTGAATTCACTTCACAATAAATCAGGTACTAGTTACATGGAGGAGAGAATGGCAGAAGATCTTAATGTGTTAATTCGTGAGCAAAGTGAGGTTCCTTCTCCTTAGTGTGACCTTACCCTGGACCTCTGAACAACTACTGACTGTGGGAAACAAATAAGTAGCTTGAACAAGATCTCCTCCTCCTGTCTTGCAGCCATTTTCAGTTGTTTATTTCCAGCACTCTGTGGAGCCCCTGGTGGTGGTGGTAGTTTAGTAGCAGTTCCTTTGTTCTGATTAGGGAATGGCACTGAGGAAGTATGCTCAAAGCATCACTAGTAGGATTATAGTTTTAGAACATCTGTTTCAAGTGGATTCTGCAGATGCATCTGCTTTATAGCTAGAATAACCTATAAAGATGCTCATCATATTCCTTACTTTTGTGTTAATGTCCATTTTCTTAAATATTTGCATTATTCATTAAGAATTCTGTCATCTTCGTTTAGGAATCAGCGTAATAGCAGTACATCATAAATACACACATTGTCACAATGAATATGCATGAACTCACCATCTCACGCTCCAGCTGCCATAGGCCAATGTTTCATATTTACACAATTGGAAAGTCTACAGGGAAAAATTCTAATATTGAACCCATTCTACTAAATTAGAGGTTCCCACTTCTGATCCAGTAGTAGAACACAGCCACTCAGCTGCGGAGTGCTGCTGCCATGGAAAGTGTGCCCATGAGACCAGCTGCTGCAGGCTGCTCTGTGTAGTTGGGACTGTGCAGATTTGGCCAACATCACATTCAGGTTTCATGTTTGATTTATAATCCATGAAACACTTGTATGAATACGAACAAAAAATAAAATTAAATATCTTAAAATTTTACTTTTGCTGCCACAAGTAGACTTTCTAAATAACTTTACATTTTGACTTTTAGAATGATCCCTTTTCAGTTTCATTTTCATGTAAAAAATTTGTTAACTCTTAATGTTTTCTACTTGGACACTTACCTCTTTCCTTTGAAAGAAAATTAAAATACTTCAATTTAGTCCAGTTTTGAATTGCAAAAGAGCTATGCATAACTATGTATAAGGGGAAAACAGCTTTGCCTTCCTAATAGCTAAGGAAGTTAGGCCAGGAAGTTTATCCTATCAAATTAGGACACATTTTTAGTAGTAATAATCAGTATCAACACAGGAGTGCAATTACAAAGGATATTCCTGTAACACTTGGAAGAGTTTAAATGAGCATGTTTTTAGGATAAAATGGACATATATTTACCAGTATCCTTACATACCCCTTTAATCTGTACTTGAGGTGTTGTTGTTAGAAAGTAATTAAAAATGTCAAAGATTGAGAAATATTTGCAAAGTGAGAGAAACTACCCAAATCCAGCATTTGGGGAATACATAATTTGTAGTGTGCCCACATGATATAATGTCTCTATTAATAGCATGTTTTAAATTACTTGTACTTGCCAGGCATATGGGTACATGGGAGGCGGAGACAGGAAGATCACTGCAGGTTTGAGACCGGCTGAGGCTACATAATGAGCTCAAGGCCTGCCTGAACTACACAGTGAGACCTGTCTCAAAAAAACAAAACAAAACAGAATTATTTGTGCTTTATTCTACTAAATAATGTAGAAATATTCACAGCATAGTATTTTGTTAAATCAGGTTGTAAAGTTATTACAGTAAAATCTTGATTTGAGCAAAGTAATATATGTTTATACATATATGTGTAAGAAAGACAAAAATTATCACTGCGTAATATAACTAGGCAATTTTTAAAATTTTTGTATATTTCTGCTTCCTTATACTCCTTCCTTCAATGAGTATTTTAAAATCCTCAGAAAATACTTTGGCTGCGGTATTGCTCAGTGGTAGATTGTTTGCATAGCATGCATAAAGTACTAGGATCTATCTTAGCTCTGCAGAAAATAAAAAATAAGAGAATGCTTCACTTTTAAAAAGGCAGAGAAGGGCAAGATGTGCCCCTTTGGAAATACAGGTGGCTTCTGTTCATTAATGACTCCACAGATCCATGCTGCTGACTTGGAAACTTTTGATTTAGAGCTGACAGAGAATATGAGGACAGTGAACAAGCTTACTGAGGTATACTTTCGTAGATCTTAACAAATATACCTTTTCTGTGTTACAGTGGAGGGTCCTAAAATACCCATTGAAGCATTGCTTTCATACCTAAGTTTCTAATTGTCTATTGAGCAGAAGCTTAGGGCAGGAAACCTTTGAGTAGAAAGGAAGTGGTGAATTGTCTGTAGATCTCAGTATTTTCTCACATGAAGCATCTACACATTCTTAATTGTGAGACAATTATCCATGAGCTGCTGTGAGCAGTGTTGGGGAGTATTGTTTGAATATGGCCCTTATAACCCCACTATGGCTGTCAGTAGGCAAAGTGATAATTGAGTTTTACTTAATAGGTATTTTAGTAGGTGAGGGAGCTCAGAGTTTCTTGTTTTGTAGCTTTTTATTGTAGAAAATTGGTAACATATATGAGGGAAACAGTATGTGATGCAGCCCATATATACTTCTCCCAGCATTGGTATTAGTGTCCTGCCAGTCTCGTACATCTGCACCCCTCCCTGTTCCTCAGCCCATCTTCATGATGGTGGTGATGATAATCTTCATTTAAGTTCTTTTTCTTTTAGGAAATACACGCAGACATGGAAATACGCAAATCTTAGCCATATAATTTTGACCAGTGTAACCCAGAAATTAGTGCTTTATCATAATGTGAAGCATTCCCATCTCTCCAGAAAGTTCCCTCTGACCCCATCTCACTCATTCTGGGTTTAGAAAGTTTTGCCCGTGTATTATCTGTGCTTTAATATCATCAGAACACTGGCTTGGGTAATTTTGTGAACTGAAAAATATCTCACTGTTCATCTCAGAATAATAGGATTTGAAACATTGAACTTTAAATTCTTTCAGACCTTTTTTTAAATAAATATTGTCAGATGTGGGCATGCACAATAGATTTCATATTTGGAGTTAATGAAACATAAGATGTTGGATTTTTTTTTCTTTCGAAGAATCCTCGCAAGGCTCGTGTGACTCGACGGTTCATTGTAGTAGAAGGATTATATATGAATACTGGAAGTATTTGTCCTCTTCCAGAGTTGGTAAGCAACCATATTTAGTCATCATTCTAGTATTTGGGCTCTTGGGCAGATAGATCTTTTGTTTATTTACATATTTATGGCCATAACTAATGTGAATACAAAATACACCTAGTCTACATGTAGTTTTGTAAGTTTTGACAGATTTATATACAATATTGCCACCAGAATCAGTCAGGACACAAAACATTGCTATTACTCCAGTTGATTCCCTCATGCCACTTTATAGTCAGCACACATCCCTGGCCCCAGGTAACCAATGATGTTTTTTCTGTTTCCAAAGACTAGTTACACTTTTGTAGAATTTCGTTTAAATGAGAGCAAATGCATCTTGTAAAATTCAACTCTTTTACAGTAAAGGCAATGTACTGTTTTTAGAATCTGTGACATTTTCCTCATCAATGTGAAATTCAGATAGCACAGAATTAACTACTCTAAAATGTGCAGTTCATGGCACTGAGTATGTTCACCATGTTATGTAGCTATGGACTTTGCCTAATTCGGAAACCCCATCCTATTAAGCAGTCACTTTCCACATTCCCTTCCCTCTAGCTCCTGGCAACCACCAGTTTGCTTTCTGTCTCTTTGAATGTACTTAATCTGGATATTTTTTAGCATGAAACCTTTTGTGTCTGGCTTCATTCACTGGCACAATGCTTTTAGGGTTCATCTACCTTGTATAGTGTATCTGGACTTGATTCTTTTTTATGTTTTTTTGTTTTTGTTTGCTTTTTATTTTTCTTCCGGTACCAGGAATCAAAACTCACAACTTTGCACTTGCCAGGCAGGCGCTGTGCCACTGAGCTAAATCCCTAGCCCCTTCGTTCTTTTTTAATGCTGAGTGATATTCCACTATGTAGATACATCACATTATGTTTGTGCATCTCCACGTGGTGTTTGGGTTGTTTTCGTCTTTTGGCTGTTGTAAAGAATGCTGCTCTGCTCATTTAATATTGAACAGCAAGAACAGCCAGTAAAAAATTGATGGTAAAAACCAAATTATTGAGTTACGCGTGGTGGTACATGCCTGTGATCCCAGCACTTGGAAACCTGAGTGAGGAGGATTGCTGTGAGTTCGAGGCCAACCTGGGCTACATAGTGAATTCAAAGCCAGCCTGAACTACACCGAGTGAGACCCTGTAAAAAACAAAACAGAAAAGAAACCAAAAAAACACAAATTATCACAAACTTGTGGTATGGCACATCAAACCATTGTATATATTCTGTACATTATTTCCATAGTTTTAATGGAGTAAAGATCATAGTAATTCAACCTATAATTATTAAAAAGTACAGTTCTTGTACCAAGAAAGAATACATGAGTCAGAGGAAGACCTGAGAGTCCCACTGGTTTTCATATCATTTTCGTAAAAATTTGTTGCTTGAAGATTCCTGTGTTTTAATTCATTCATGAAACTGTACAAAACATACATGGGTGAATTAACTAGACATTAGGGAAAACATACCTGTATGCATGCATGCATATATCAGTTCCTAATGGATTGTTGGATTTTTTTTTTAAATCCATAAAATTAGAGAAACATATATAAATATGCATCTAAAATTATGGGAAGGTACTTTATTATAATGTAAAAAAAGTGAAAAACAGACTGTTGAACTGTAATAGCATAATAATGAAAATATTTTCTCCATTTAAAACATTTCAGCTAAGTGTCATAGCACACATCTGTAATCCCAGCACTCTGTGAAGCTGAGAGAGAAGGGTCACAAGTTCAAGCCTAGCCTCAGCAACTTAGACTCTGTCTCAAAAATTTAAAACAGGCTGCAAATGTAGTTCACTTGCTGCCAAAAAAACAAATAAAAAAACTGTGAATTCAAATTAAAATAGAGCTACTGAGAGAGGAGTAGCTAGCTACATTTCTGCAGGCATTTTCTGGGGTTTTGTTGTTTTGTGTGCATGTGCACATGCACATGCCTGGGTATTAGTTTCTAGGGATTTAATCCAGGGCCTTGCACTGAGCTACATGCCTAATCCTTTTTATTTTTTATTTGAGACCAGACAAGCATATGACAAGATATGCAAAAGTGAGGTTTGAACATGGGATCTACCAAACTCACCCTACCTGAGTTCTGGGATTTGGGTGTACACCATTATGCCCAGCTTTCCCAGGAGCTTTTATGTGTAGTCAGACCAATGGCTAGCAGATACACTACCTGTCTATATACATAAAAGTTTTAACATTTCCTTTTTTAAGAAAAAGGCTTTTTCCCCCCAGGATAGCAGAACCTGCAAGAGGAGTGTGAGAGAGACCACACTCTGCACTTCTTCCATTATCTCCTGGACAGCAAGGTCTGAGAGAGGAGTGTGAGTCTGTGTTCTGTGCTTCCTCCATTATGTGTGGGACAGCAGGGCCTGCAGGAGGAGTACGAGTTTGTGCTTTGCACTTCCTCCATTATCTCCAGGACCACAGGGCCTGCAAGAGGAGTGTAACTCTGTGCTGTCCTCATCCTCCATTCTCTGGGGCAGCAAGGCCAGTAGGAGGGGTGTAAGTCTGCACTCTGTGCTTCCTCGATTGTCCTGGGAAGGAAGTATCTGCAAGAGGACTGTAAGGACACATGCCTTTGGTGGGTGGGCCGACCAGAACCCAGAGACCTGAGACCCGGGACAGCATCCAGTCTCTTGGCATAAGGGCGCACACATACCTTTGGAAGGCAGAGTAATCAGTGGGACCAACAACCTGGAATTGTCTGAAGCAGCAGCATGAAGCCAGCAGTTGGGCTCTGGAGAACTCCACCAACAGAATAACAGTTCCAGCACCCACATCCAGGGGTCAAGTTGACCTCCATACCTAGCCTAGTTCCCAAGGCAAACTTGGCTGGAGTACACAGCACATTTCTGAGATCTGACATGTACACTATCACAGAAGTGTAAACACCAGAGGTATTTTACTACTTTTATTCTCCCTTGCTTGTCTGATTGACTCTCTTTCCTGTCTGGTTGAATGTTGTTTTATTTTGTTTTGTATTCTGTAGTTATTTTTGTATTTGGTTTTTTTTTTTTTTTTCTTTTTTCTCTCCTCTCTCTGGTTTCCTTTTTCTTTCTTTCTGCTTTTCTTTTTCATTCTGTTTTTCTTTTTCCTTCTTGTTTTCATAGTTTAGGTTTCTTACCATTCCTTTCATTTTCTTCTATTGATCCTCTTTCTTTCATCAACTACTTCTTCAATTTAAAAATTCAATTGAGTAAACATTTTCTCTGCTATTCCTGACTACTCCTTCATATTCTATTTCATTATTTTTCCTTCTGTGTCCTCCAGTTTCCCAAAGCTTGACTGACCATCGTTTAACCTCCAGCCTTGATTCTACTATATTTGATCTCACTCATCACTTTAGCCTTTCCCCTACCCATTTTAACCCCTTCTAAGCCCCTGCAGAACATAAAATCACCCCAATAAGGTGTGCATAAAAGTGCACAGTATATGTTTGATTTTGTTTTATAATTTTAGAGTTTACTGCTGTGGTCAAAGGTAACAGATTAATGGTTACCATGGTTAATCAGTAGTTAAGCTGTTTTTGGAGCTATTGTTACTACTAACTGTACTACTTTAGCCAAGATGTCATACATGTTATAAAGTTTTTCTCCCCTGTATGACTATACTGTGACTATGTGAGGTCATAATCATCACCACAGTCCAGTATCACAGGTTTGAGAGTAGAGCTAAATAGACATTTCACATCCCTTATAAATTGCGAGGGCGGGTTTTAGGATAGCTATAAGGAACCATCTACATCTGGATGACATCCCCGAAGAATAGACATCCTCTGGGGAAACCTCCATACTAGTGATAGAAGTATACATCATAAGAAATCAACAAGTATCAACATAGAAAACAAAGTAAAAGAGAAAATAGAAAATGACAAGACACAGAAGGAAAATGCAATGTGAGATGCTCAGCCCATCAGGAAAAGCCCAGAACTCAGTGAGATAGATGAAATTGAAAGTCAAACAGTGGAACTTTCTCAAATGCTAGTAACAGAAATGAAAAAACAAGTGGAAAGGCTATAGAGAAAATAGTCTCTCAGGTACAGAAAGACATGATGCTTAAGATCAAAGAATAGATGAGCTTAGAAAAATGATGGAAACAAAATTTCCCAAGATAGGAAAGAAATGGAATCCATAAAACAGGTCCAAACAAATCTAAGAGATTAAAATCTCCATCAGAACTGTATGCCTCAGATTGAACAAAGGGAAGGGTAGAATTTCAGATTTTGAAAACAGACTTGCAGCTAGTGATCACAAAAAAAAAAAAATATCCTAAAAATAGCAAGAGAGCATAAAAAAACGAAGGCAGCAACTACAAGATGAAGCATAGCAAATGTAAGATTGATTGGGGTCAATGAGGAAACTGGAGACAACACAAACTCGATTAAAAAAAAAAAAAACTTCCCAGAAATAAGGGCAGAATACTTATGAAGTATGGATAAAGAATTTGACATACAAGTAAAAGAAGCATATACAACTCCAAACAATCATCACTAAAATAAAACTACAGCAAACTATGTAAAAATAAGAATTCCAGAAATTCAGCACAAGAACGGAATATTGAAAGCTGTTAGAAAGAAGAAACAGATCACGTATAAAAGGAAGCTCATCAGAATCCTATCAGACTTCTCAACACAAACCCTCAATTCAAGAAGAACTTGGAGTGAAATGTTTCAAGTCTGGAAAGAAAACAACTTCCAGCCCAGATTGATGTATCCTGCAAAACTATCTTTCAAAATTAATGGAAAGATAGATACTTCCATGACAAAGAAAACTGAAGAGATTTATGACCACCAAACGAACCCTGTGAAGAGTACTAAAAGATATTCTAGACAGACATAAAAATGACCACAATTTCAAGAATAATAGCTGAGAGAAACCACCAGGCAGGCCCAGCAGTTAAACAGAAGGGCAAAGCAGGGAACTAACAGAAGGAAAAAACATGATAAAGATAAGCCAGTATATGTTAGTTATAACCATTAATGTAAATACTCTCAATTCA